GCTTACATGGTAAAACATAATTGTGAAATCTTGGTTGAAGCTTTCAAACATAAAGTTGAGATACAAATCGGTAAGAACAATCTAAAGCATCATGTTTTATGATCATCCTAATGATTATGGAACTATGTCACAATTGATCCTCAAAATACACCTTAGTGCATTTGTATGTCTAATAAGAGGAATCGTGAATTGTTGAAATGGTTAAATCAAGAAGGTGAGTAATACTTCGTTCCAAAATCAAGTCTTAAAGTTATAATTCAAGATTGTGTCTTGAGTGACATATCCTAAGTAGGTTTATAACACATCATGAAATGTGGAGTAAAAAAAAATTTCTTACTCATGTACATTTGTAATTGGTAGTTGTGATGTCTTGGATAATACAAAGACCAACTGAGACCAATTATATGTAATGTCATTCTTGATAAGAATTCACACTAACTCTTGAATATTTGTTTGTCAAGAAATGTTTCTTGAGAAGAGAATCTTATATGTCAAGAGGTCAATGGGAGTCTTAAAGATCTTGAAAATTTTCAAGAACTAATTAATAGTAAGCCTATTGTTAATCACTAGCGCACGACTTGAGGTTTGTACCTATCATGTTGACATTTTCTTGTTTATGTGCCATTCCAGTTAAGTATGTGTGTGAAGTTCTATGAATTCTCATTTGAATGTATAAGGAAAAGCACCTTGGTCAGTGAAATTACATTGATTTGTGTGGGTGAACTTCTCAGTAACTTGGAAGCAATGGTAGGCCCTTGAGCTACCAAAAGACAATAAATTAAGATTAAACAAGTTCAATCCATATGATTTTAAATTTGTCATAGACCTTGTCTTATGATAATGATTGGAAATGACAAATTCACATGGATAGGAACACATACACTATAAAATCTAAGTAACATAAGTTTTCTCTCCACTTAATGAAAATGATTGTAAGGAAACACTTTCACTAAGAAGATTTTGTGGAGATAGCTATTGTGTTAATTGCATTCTCAGATTCGATATAGTGTGATTTTTTTTATAAAGATCAATAGGATCTAAAATAAAATTATATCAAACTTTTAAATAATTAAGACGTGGCTTTAAATTGTCATAATTAACACGTCACTTATTAGATTAAGTATAGCTCCATATATTTTTTGATTTTCATTTATAACTAATATACAATTGCATTTTTTTATTTCTATAATTAACTATTAGTTATTTGTCTTAAGAAAAATGCTTTTATATATTTTTAGTGTTAATGAAGTATAATATTCTAAAATTTAGATATTCACTGTTACGAGCTACTTAATCAAGTAATACTTCTTACTAATGTGCTTTAATTTATTAGACTTCATGATTTCAATTTATCTGTGTAAAATGTTAATGAAATATTGTCACTCCCCAAACCGAAACGGAGGAAACGTTCGGGGGTGGAAGACGTCATGTATAGTATCACAACAATTAAATAAGTAAAATATTTACATCTGTTTGATACATAGTTTGTATACATCAAAAGTATAGCAAACTATAAAAGACGTGACTCTAAATGCTCCGTCTTCTCAAAAGTTGTGGAAGTACATGTCTACTGATTTCCTGATAATACAAGCGATTTTGAAAGAGTATCACCATTAAAGCTGGTAAGTTCATAAGCATGTTTTTGTAATGAAAAACCGTTGGTAAATCTGTAAAATTTTTGTATGTTTCCAATAAAATCCAATATTTTCTTAAATAAAAAGGCAGTCTTAAACCCTAAGACCAATTGTAAGTTCGTTATTGAATTTTGTTTTTGTGTATGAAATTACTCGCATGAAACCCCTGGCTACCACTAGTAATGTACGTAATGTATTGTAAGAAAATCCTGGTTAATACTAGTATGTATATCATGTTATGTATATAAACCCTAGATAGCACCAGTATGTCTAGCAATTTTATTAATTAAAATAAAACTATGTATTCTATCCCTTGGAAATCCTCTAGTATAATGTGTAGTAGTTCTATTAATTAAAATAAAACTAATGAAGAATGAAATCTCGTAAACAAAGGTTAGTTTATACTGTTGTGAGTTCTTATAACCATGCTTGATATGACCTAGTGACCTCTACAACGTTCTTCAGGCATTAGACGTTATGACATTTGTCACCCCAGACATGCCTGCCTAACTGTAGATAGCAGTTCAGGTGTGGATAGTCAATCCTGAATAGATCTATTCACAAATCTCACACTCTCCCTCCAGGAGACTCTGGTTATACTATGATAGGATTTAGCTCGTACCCCGAAGGGTACAATTAAAGTGATGTCTCACAACCCTGTATTAACTAGTTTACGTGTGATGTAATGTTCGCTTGTACTTGAATCTATACATATGTCTTGTAGTAAAATAATTATGCATAAATAATTATTTAGTATGGTACTCTTATATTCAGAAAGTAGTAATGTATATCATAAACTATATTTGTCATAGTTCATATGATTGTTAATGTATAATCCCATGATGGTAAAACTGTGTATTGAAATTCCCAAACTATATATATTATATTTTGCATGTGTGTTAAGTACTCAGTTCATGTATTGTCTTGAAAACTATGCAATTATAGTTGTGCGTTGAAAACTCCCCTTATGCTCAGCATGTTACAAAAGGGATAAGATGTCTAAACACTTTATAAAATGTGGTGATCTTTTGGTTGTATCAATTGCATAAGTTTTTAATCTGTTGAAATTATGTGTATAAGTTCACAAAAAAATATTTGGGTTTGGCTTGTATTCCCTCTCTGAAAACGTTAAAATAGTAAAGGCATAGGGGTATGAACTCACAGTTAGATGCGTGTATGCGCCGGACAACGAGACTGGAAATAAGGACCCTCGAGTTGTTGTACATGAAGTTAACGGAATCCTAATAATAGTTAAACACATATTTGTATTTAAATTAGCGAATCCATTAGTTGAAGTGTTAGAAAAACACTTACTTCTGGTTCAAGAATGTTATCGAGACTCGATCGAGGAGGAAAAGTGGGTTAACAACCAAGATTCACGGTTTAGGATTGATTGTGGCCGTAAAGGGTTTTCAGTCGTGAACTGTTCTCGGCCGTGAACGGTTCCCTGCGCTCGAAGGGTATACGACCCTCGAATGGTTTGCGGTCGTGAACTGATTTCGGCCCTTGAGATTTGAAGATTTGAAGGGTTTACGGCCGTGAACTCAAGAACAAAAATGCTTGATTTGATGAAAAGATGAATGTTTGATGCTCCAAAACGAGTTTCAAGGTGGATTTGGGTGAATTTCAAAGGATAGATTGAGTTTTCGGTTGGTAGTTTTAGAGAGAGAAAGTGTGTTTTCGGTCAGAAAAGTATAAATGAGGGTAGGAACACGTATATATAGGTTGGGTTCATGGTCGGTGGTGGGGTCCACCCAGCCGTAAACGGTTTACGGCCGTGAATAGTTTGCGGGCGTAAACACCGGAATGCACGAGACTTGGCTGATTTTTGATGAAAAACTTGATTTTTCGCACGATTTTTAGTCCCGACACTTATATAAACTTAATTTATATAATCTAAGTTGTTCTCAATCCTTACGAGTTTGACAAAATTTGATAAAATAAATAAAATTCGAAGTTTTTATTTAACGGGATTTGACTTTTGTTGACTGAAAAAAGTTCGGGTTGTCACAAATATAATATTCTAAAATTTAGATATTCATTGTTATGAGCTACTTAATCAATAATACTTCTTCCTAACGTGTTTTATCTTTTAGACTTCATGATTTCAATTTATCTACGTAATATGTTAATGATATAATAAAAAATATTTGCATTTAAAATTTATTTCAAATCATTCGGGTGACTAGCTAAACAAAATTGATATGGCTAAATGTCTCCGGCGCATTAACCATTTCGTTGACCCCAACCTTTTTTTGAAAAGGATGATGATACGTTTTCATGAATGATTATGATATTTACTGTTATGAGCTACATAATCACTACCATTTCTTACCATTTTGGTTGGCCCCGATCTAGTATATACATACATTAAGGGAACAATATGATACCTAAGGACTTCAAGAAGATGGTGATATCGATAGTATTGATGGAAGTGTAGTCTTGAAAATTTAACCAACCATGTTGAATGTAAGAATATAACAGAAATATATAAATCGAAATTAATACAAATAAGATTTTAGATTGGTTTTTCTGTTAAAAAAAATAATGGAAATCTAAGTGAAATTAATACAAATAAGATTTCAGATTATCTTTTAAACTGAACTTCGAATGACACCTTTCCCTAACAACAAGATAACTAATCAACGAAGGAAACTACTTCAAAAATATTTACCCTTGGACTTCGTTGAAGGCTTATGTTGTAATTTTTAACCTATGTCATATATGATTGTATTTTGTTATTTTTTTTGTCCGAACATATGGTATGGATCTTTTTTATGGAAAAAAAAGAGTATGGGACTTTGTTTTGTGACAATATGGACCATAAATATAAAACTCGAAAAATATGAGTTCCAGCATCAGAAAAGCAACTTAACATAGTCTGGAAGTTGAATATAAGAAAAACACATTTCATCAAACTGGTCAAAGTTCTGTAATAAGTTAAGATGTTACAATTATTTAGAGTTAAAACTAAGTGATTACTTGTAATTGCAAAACGACATATAAATAAATTTATCATCATTTGAGAATTGTAATAATTAAAGAATTCTCAATAGTTTGTAACTTGTTAATGCGTAATGGCTTTTATGTATTGATTTGATAGCCGCACGAAAACCATTCAACGAATTGAATTAATCATTGGCCGGAAATTATTCTACGCCGCCGCTTTGCACGGATACACAACTAATATATATATATATATATATATATATATATATATATATATATATATATATATATATATATATGACTTTCTCTATTTTATATGAAACAAAAATATTACTTTCTCCGTCCCATAATTATAATCCACGGACGAAAAAAACACATATTAACGAAACATTAATTATCACTAAATTTATACAATAAAATTACTGTTGTGTATTAAATGCTTAGTTGGTTAAGTAATAATGAGGAAGTATTTTGATAAAGATACTATTTATACTTGACACGTATACTAATTTAACACGATAGCGAAGAATTACAGATCAAATATCATAACCCATTAATTGATAAGTTTAGTTATGTTTGGGATCGAGGGGTTGAAGTGAATCGTTGTTGCATAATTTCCACTTTTATGATGAACTCTTCCGGCTAGTGATCAGTATTACCTGTTTGACTGTATTCATTATCTCTGGCAACAACATGACCCCTAGAAATACGGATTGCATCCATGTAGGCGCAGTCAAGTATTCATCTCCTCGCCTACCGCTGTTTACAATTGCTTTAGCACAACCTTCTACGGAGTACCTTGGGATCCACCACAATTTTCCCTATCAATAAATAACTGTGGCTTAGATTTTGGTGTATGTTTCCAAAAAATCCATGCGACTGCAAAAGTAAAATCTAGAACTAGATTGCTACGTATATAAAAAGGTGAAAAAAATAAGACTAATTCAATAATATTTTTTTCCAAGATTTAGGCAAATAATTAAGCTTTTCCAGAAATAGCCATAAATTTGGAAGCTTACACTTGAAAAATTGACGCATGACCTTCAAAATCACCAAACAATGTGGTTATGAAAAAATAAACAAAGAAAAAAAAAAATTGCAGGTTTGACATGAAATATGCAAGTTTAACTTACGAAAAAGAATATATATATATATATATATATATATATATATATATATAATTATATATATATATATATATATATATATATATATATATATATATATATATGGAAAAGTTAATATACCTAACAACCTTATATAAGCTTAGGTACCTAATCACATTATACTACATTGTTTTGCATTGTATTTTCATTGCAATCGTCTAAGGTTCTTAAACTTCAACTCTTAACTTGATTTACTTCCAAGATTTTCAGACATTCACCATTATATTCTTCCTATACCATTTGATTTGTAACGCAGTATATGAAGCCCACCAGGGGGTCTCCGATAAAAAGACGTCATTTGAAGGAAAATAATGATGAAAGTCCAAAGATTTTGGAAGCAATCAAGTTATGAGGTTGAATTTTAAGAACTTTGGGTGGTTACAATGCAAATATGATACAAAATTATGTAGTATGATGTGGTTAGATATCTAAGCTTATATAAGGTTGTTAGGTATATTCACTTTACCCATATATATATATATATATATATATATATATATATATATATATATATATATATATATATATATATATATATATATATAATCAGTTTCATTTGAGACCATTCTAATTTTGTGAAACCGTGAGACCAAAATCTAAAAATAATTTTAAAATGCAAAATAAATGGAAAAATCCAAAAAAAAAAAAATTTTAAATATTATTTTCGGAACTTGAATTAACTAAAAAAAATCTCGTTTTTTTTTTTGAAAAATACATGAAATATTTTAAATAGAATATTACACTGACATATTCTAAAAAATAATTTTAAAATGCAAAATAAATGGAAAAATCTAAAAATTCTTTTTTTAAATATTATTTTCGGAACTTAAATTAACTAAAAAAAATCCTTTTTTTTTTTTTGAAAAATACGTGAAATATTCTAAATAGAATATCACACTGTACATATTCTAAAAATAAATTTAAAATGCAAAATAAATGGAAAAATCAAAAAAATTCTTTTTTTAAATATTATTTTCGGAACTTGAATTAACTAAAAAATTTTTTAAAAAAATAAAAAAAATGCGTCTCACGGTCTCACAAAATTAGACCGTCTCACATGAACCTAACCCTATATATATATATATATATATATATATATATATATATATATATATATATATATATATATATATATATATATATATATATATATATATATATATATATATACTTTTAATTTTGTTTGGATCGTAAAATCTTCTAAAAATAATTTTAAAATGCAAAATAAATGGAAAAATAAAAAAAAAATTTAAATATTATTTTCGGAACTTGAATTAACTAAAAAATTTTTAAAAATAAAAAAAATAAAAAAAATACGTTTCACGGTCTCATAAAATTAGACCGTCTCACATTAACCTAACCCTATATATATATATATATATATATATATATATATATATATATATATATATATATATATATATATTATATATATATATATATATATATATATATATATATATATATATATATTCTTTCAATTTTGTTTGGATTGTAAAATCTTCAAAGACTATTTCCATACAAAAATAGCTTAATATGTAATTTTCACCTCGAAACATAAAATAAGTACATTGCTTTCATATACTTTTGTGAGTGGTGCTATAATCTTATTACCAAAGTAGTTAAAAACCGCTTACTAGTTTAAAAGAAATTAAATATCATTCGATTTTTTCTTTCTATCTATTTCCCTAACATTTTTAGATGACCACTAGTGTAAAACAATATTTATTAAATTTTATTAAATATGCGTGTCACAATCTTAAATGTATACAAAGATAGTAGGAAAATGGTAAGAAGAAAGAGTAAGAGGATATTTAATTTCTCTTGGTTTAAAAACATTCCAAACAACCTTTAAATTATGTTTAGTTGCATTTAGCGAATACATTATGAACTATAGTGTAAATCTAAAAACAAATGATTAATCCTAGATTAAATTAAACCATTTAATGATTTTAGTTAACACATTGACTCACACATGTTCGCTTACCTTATCTAATAATTCATCCTTAGCTAATGGCGTAGCGACCATCCCAAGAGTTACCATTGTTATCCTAATGTTCGAAGCAAGTTCGATTCGTAGTGTTTCAAAGAAACTTTGTTGTGCTACCTTACTTGCCTAGAGAGCTATTTCTTTGTTAGAAGATCATTACATATGTATCAAACACAAAGCAATAAAATAGTTATCTGGATTCCTACTTACGTTGTACACACTCATTCCAGGCATATTGAACCATCCGCCGGTAGAACCTATCACAATTATTCGTCCTTTATGCTTTGTCAAATATGGAAGTGCGAAATGTGTGGCATAAATTGATCCCCAGAAGTTTACATCCTTAAAAAAAGAGCACGTATAATATTTCTAGTCCATGTGTGAAACCAACACCATAATTGAAAATTTATGGTAGTGATGATAAGTACCATGATTGAAGCGTGATCGACAATGAATCTTTTGTCTTCGAAGAGGCCAATTTTAACTATTCCGGCATTGTTTATAAGATAATTCACTGTTTGTTCATGTAATTATTAGAGTCATGGTTTGTTAGTAGGTCATTCATATGCATGCTTCTACAAATATCACGACATGTTTTGGAAAAAAAGAAGTAAATGAGAGAATGTCAACAAATGAGATCCTATTTTTTTGGTATTTGAAGTTCTTTGAGTCGTTTTTTGCCTCAAAAACTATTAATTATTCAAATATCAATTTGTTCATGTTTATTCATTAATATTCAAATTTGAATGAATTAATACTTATGAACTGCTATGTCTAGCCGTTTGTGTTCTAAGGAGAACTAATTCACACCATTATGTTTCAACCATAAAAAGCAAACAAAAAATACAATGTCGTATAGAATTGTTAGCTACTCAAGCATATATGTATTAAATTAATAAAACTTAAAAAGACAACACAATATAGATTGTAATTTTGTGGACAGGGTGTAAAAGAACCGAACCGAGCCGGGTCCGAGCAAACTTGGGCCCATCTTGTTTTAAATTTTTGAGGTTCCAATTCGAGATGAGTTCTTGAAAAATTATGTAGGCTTGGACTTGACTCATATATAGTATACTCTAATTTTCTAAAATAGTATTTATTATAAAGTTATTTATTTTAATATATAAAATAAAAAATAAAATTATATATGTAGGCTACTACATGCTCGCGAGCCTAATCCAACTTGGTAACACAAACTTGAGCTCGTTGAATAAACTCGTATAATATTAAACTCGAGTTTGACTCGATCGATCTCAGGTTGAGCCTTGAACGAGTTGATAGCAAGTAGCTTGTGAGTAGTTGGACTTTTTTGCAAACCTATTTATAGCTATTATTTACATTTTGATTATAATTATTTTAAATCATATAATTATAAAAGACTCTTTTGAGTCCACATGGAATTCTCCAAAACGATTCCTTACATTAAGTGTTTTTACCTAATTGCCCTTCGATTCATTTTGAAGCATAGGTTAATCTTGACATTCTCTTTTTCTCCCTTAAGAGCATTGGGTATGAGTGAGTGTTATAACACCAAAGAATTACCACATGGCCATGACACATCACTCTTAACACCACATCATTTACACCACATCATTTAGATAGGAAAATGGTGTTCAATGTTATAACATTTGTTAAGAAAGAAAGAGAAAGAGAAAAGAAGAAACCTGATTGGTGGAAAATGGCGTTTTGGCCAGTTCTCGTTGCAACGCCGCATGCCACAACGAGAAGAAGCGAGAAGAGAGGGGGGTGTTCCCCGTTACCACGCCCGTTAAGGCGTGTCCATGTCGGCAATAACGAGAACGAGATAGCCTATACCGTGTGCTCTAATCTCACATATATCGTGTGCCGCTTCTTAATTCGTATACAATATTCAAAAAGTGAAATCCATAATGGTAATTCTTCATCTTCCCAATATCTTGCCAAAACCCTAGCCATGGAAGCTGCCTTTCTTCCTTTGAACAGACGAATTCCATTGCTACGATTAAGATCCCCTTTCTTTGATTTACCAAGTATGATATTTAATATTTCTTCGATTTCTCCTTCTAAAATTAATGCCTACATCTATTACCCTCGAACATCCACCACCATCGCAACTTCAATCTCACATCTTCACCACCAAACAATCAACATAATCACACCTCTTTCAGCAATTGATCATCATGACATATATGTAAGGTTAAAGTTGTTTTTTTTTTTAATATTCACCTTTTTCATTATACCCAAAAAGTATTGATTGTTTTAGTGTTTGGTTTCCCTTTATTGATTCAGGTTGAAATGGCTATGCATATGGGTTATGCGTCTTCTCTTAAGACGTGGGTTTTGCATCTTCTATGTGTTATTCTACATTCAGACAATGGTATTCTTTTAGTTTTGTTCGTCACAAATTTTTAAGTATTTTTTTTTTATTTTCTTTGTTACAAGTTTAAAATATGAATTTCTCTGTTCTTGATGGTGTTCTCAACCCTAGACTTGATCAGTTTTAAAGCATCTGCTTTAAAGCTACAGGTGAGAGACGTGATGGGTTGGAGAGAACACGGATCTCACAAAATGTTTGGGCTGTTGTTGGCAAGTAATACACGACTTTTATAGTAAGGAATAAAAATATGATATCATGGGAAATTCCATAAATGTCAATGCATATCCACTTCAAATCTAATGCACTCAATGTACTCTAGGAATAGTTTAAAAATTCAAGATTATTAATTTCAATGACATATTTGTTCATTAGCATCCACAAATAAGTTTAAAAATACTATATTGTATATATTAAGAGTATTTTAGGTATTTGAGAAACAACTAAAATTAAACTTGTGTTTTTAACACTTATAATCCATATGAAATTTTGATTAGTACAAACTTGTGTTTCCATTTTTGTAATTAAAAGTTTCAAACTTTGAATTTGTAGGAAAATGAGAAACAATTGGAGTATTAGACATTGGTTTTGAATGACTTTTCCAAACAAAACATTTGAGTGGTTCAGAATGAAACTTTAGTTGGACGGATGTGATTTTGCTGGAGGGTTTTCCACACAAAAGCGTAAGTAAAAGTTCATGTTTCCCTGCAATGTTTTGATAAAAGATTGAAAGCACAATGCTGTAATTTATTGTTTTTTTCAAAGCCTAATGTCTTGATATGAGAACAAGTTTGAAACTTGAATGTTTGGATGAATATTTTAAAGTGCAAGATCGTAATGAGTGAAATACTTCAAATTGGGTAGATTTTACAAGGCGATACGAACTAAAAGCTATTATATTTTGTGGGTTTATTAGTTGGGTTGAAATCTTTTATAACTAGTGGCTTTGAAGTGAATACTTTTGCAATAACGAATGTATTAGAGTTTCTTGAATAAAAAGTATTAAGAAGTGCATGTTTGTCTCTTTAAAGGCAAGGAAAAGAATGGAAATCAAAAAATAATTTTGGGTTTTATTGTGTGTAACAGGCAGAGGATGTGATGGTTGTTATTAAAAGAGTACTCAACAAAAGATATAGATGGGCAATATGACTCAATAATGACCAACCATATTGATATTGGTAATAAAGAAGAAGCAACATCTTTTAGATAGCAATTTTCTTGGTGATTACAAATGCTTGAAGTTGATTCTCCCCTACTTTTTTGGATTTTCACATTACAAATTTACTAAACTGCTTCAAAATAGAGATTACACTTTGGGTGCCAATTTTAATTTAGAAAGTCAAGGCTACTTACTCAAATAGATAATGACAATATTATGTGAAAATATTGTTTGTGATCTTGACTCTGCTAATTTTAAATCCAATAAACAATTAGAATTGTGTCTACATTTTCCACTTTGTTTTTTTTTTTTCGACTTTGACTTTGGCTGTCAAATTTGATGGTATATCACCACTTTGAGTCTGACATAACTTAGGCCCCGTTTGATACGTATCTTTTCAGGTTCAAACAGATATTTCTGGTTGAATAGATCGGAAAGACTGTTTGATTTGCAAAAAAGAAGGGGTCTTTCCTGGTAAGATATGTCTTTTCCAAAAAACCCCAAAATCATATCTTTCTAGCTGAATGGGCTGGAAAGACAATTATACACCAAACCCGCCTCTTTCTTTCTTTATTGGATTATTAATTTTTTTAAATAACTTTTTAAAATTTTTTTTTATTGAAATATTACTTTTTTTCATCATTCAGCACAGTCAATCAGATGTACAATCAAATAACATGATTTTTTTTCTCAGTCAGAAAACTTTCCCAATCAGCACTTTACCAGATAGCACTTTTCCAAATGGAAACTATTAAACGAGACCTTAGTGTTTGACATAACTTTTTCTTGTATTTATTATTTTGTATGTGTATAATGTAATTAATCTTTTTTTTTCTAAAAATTCAAACTTCTTTTTAGAGGTTTTTTATTTTATATGAGTTATATATTATATGACTTAAATAATTAAATGTTCTAATTGTGTTAAAGTATAGAAATTGGACATGGTATACAAAGTCTATAAATAATTATTATCGAGATGATTTAATCTTTTATAAAATTACAAAAACAATTACTCATAAAGTATTTAGAGTTATGTTTGCCATACATTAGTTAAATTATCTAATCAAATACTTAGAATGAACATTTTTTTTTGTTATTTAACTTATTATTAAATGTATAGTGCTTATACATATTTCTTTGCTATTAATTGTTTAGGCAGGTTGATGCACCAAGTGAAAATGGTGTGGTAATGGTGTTTTATAATTTCATATCATAATAGTGTTTTGTTAATGTTTTTTTTGAAGTTTATTTCATAAATAACTTCGACCAACAATATAGCTTCTAGCCCAATGATATTCGGTGTTGCTCTCCCTCCTTGAGGTTAAGAGTTCAAGTCCTGTGATGGACATAGGTGGAATAGATTTGTCGTTCCAAAAAAAAGAAAAAAATGACATCTGGATCTTCATGGTGTTATGTTATTTTGAATTAATAAGATGCTAACATATAATGCTTCAAATGGTTTGTGTACTGCTTCCATGTGTGTTATTATTTATAATTTAAAAATAAAAAAAAATTAGCTAAAATTATTGCAATGATGGCTTGCAACTTAAAGCCTACATTTATTATATAACTAGGTGTGAGACCCATGTATTACATGGGTTTATTTAAAAAAAATTAAATTTCAAATTTTAACAATTTGAAAATTTTGGTTTTTTAAGAAAAATGAAACAAAAAATTTGAATTATTAAAGTTAATAAGGTATTAATGTATTGAATACCTTACATATATATTATATTATATATTAAATATGGAACTTTAATTTAATAAAATAAAAAATACATTAAAATGACAAGTGGAAAATAGAAAATTTAAAAATTCTAGAAAATGTCATGTGTATAAATGAATGAGAAGAGGACATGTGGCAGTAGATATTAATCAATAATTTATATTCAAAATAATATTTTTCGGTTTGAAAATTTATCTATATAAGAATAAATGAAATAATAAGAGTTAAATGTGAACATTTAAATTTTGTTAGAGATTTATAAGAGTTTGTAAATTTTAATATTTTATATCTTTTACTTAATTTTAGTAAACCATATTTCATTCATCATTTTAAATTTATTATTTACTATGTTGTGTTTATGTATGTTCATTGTATCATCGTCTATTTTAAATTGCCATATAAAAATGTTATTTTCATAATTGATTGTGTTTTTTCACTTTATTCAAATTTATATTATATTGCACGAAATCATAACTTTATTAAATATTTATACATAAAAAGCGTAGATGTGATATTCATAACAATGCATATACTAATTTTTACTAATCATTACATAAGTCTAAACAAAACTTATATCATATTAGTTTAACCAAATTTATAAATCTTTGATTTTTCATTATCAATATTATTTTTCTTTTTTACCCGTGATTTCAACGGATTGTAACCTAGTTTTGAATAATAACGGTAGTTCCAAACCCTACATATTTTCAACATGTTTGTATAATCGTATTGCTATAAAAAGGTGGATTTAGTTAACAAAAATCAATCATAAAACATATGAATTGGGGGACGTTGATATGAGTAGACCTATCAAACGTGTCGTGACGTGTCGTATCAGATTTGTGTCGTGTCAAGACATTAAACGGGTTGAAAGAGCTTGACACTAACCCGACCCGTTTAACTATCGTGTTGTGTCATGTCAACCGGTTTATTTTCGCGTCGGTTTCGTGTCGGGTTTCGGGTTAAGGTTTAGACCTTGTAAATATGTTGTGTCATGTCATGTTGATATATTTTAAAGGTTCGAAAGTAGGAGTTGTGGAGGCAAGAAGGAAAAAGTGAAACACTAGAGTTATGAGGGCATCCACAAGGTATTGAACTCTATAGAGTTTAATGGAGTGTCATATCATCATTCACTGTTCCATACAATTCTATTCATTTTTATCTCACAATGCATTAAACTTTACAAGTTCAATGGAGCATATTAAAAAAATATTTATTTAAAGATTTAAATATTTTCCTTTTTCTCATTGAAGAGTTCAATGGTCATTGAATTCCAAATCCATTAAATGCTAAGGTGGTGTTTCACAATGGTTGAGTTGTATCTATTGAATGACAAATAGACATGATACCTCATTCAACTCTTCCATTAAACTCCACACTGTAGATGTTTTGAGATGGAATGACAAAATTTATAGTATGTTTACAAGGAAAAATGAAAAAAGTTAAAGTTGGAGAGTAAAATGGATAGATGGTGAGGATTATTAAAATTAAGTAATTTTGAAAATTTGAATATTACTTCTAATTATTAAGTTTGGTCCACTACAAGTCTATAACCTATAATATATTTATAAAAATATGAAATTTATAATAAAGAATATATAATTAAACGGGTCATATTCGAGTTATCTTCGAGTTGAAAGTCTTGACCCTAACCCTAGCCGTTTAATTATCTTGTCATGTCGTGTCAACCCGTTTACATAAACGTGTCGAAATCTCTAACCCTAACCGCTAATTTCGTGTCAGATTTTCGTATCGTGTCATGTTTTGCTACTTCTAGACATTAGACATAGTACCGTGAGTTTGATTGAACGTTAACAAAAGGAATTGATGCTTTGATCACGAAACTCACATTTTCTAAAATGGTTGATCGTTTCATCGACAAGTCTCTTGCAATCTTGAAGCTTCGAAACATCCGCCTTGATCACAATCACCTCTAACGCTCCTAACTCCTTTGCTTTCATGGCAACCGCCGCTAGCAGATCCTCTCTTCTCGCAACCAACGCTAAACTTGCTCCATGTTTCGCATATTCATACGCCAAATGCTTCAGTATTTTACCAAATCAAGCGTATCGTCAATTTTACACATATGGTCATTTGATAGAAGAAAAAAAATTATATGTACTTGTATAGGTTACCTCGCCGATACCAGAAGAAGCTCCTGTAATAAGCACTACTTTTCCGGCGAGTTTTTCCGGTGATACAGATCTGATGCAAAACCTCAATACGCGGAACAATGAAAGTATCGGCAAGATGAAGATGAATGAGATGACCGATATAATAACAGAAACAATGTTTAAGAAATTGTGTATCAAATCCATCATTTTTCAGTGCCGCTAGTAAAGCTAAACATATATTTAATATGAAGGGGGGGGGGGGGGGGGAGGGGGAGGATTTTTCAAAGCTAAACATATGTTGGTTGTGAACAACAAACAAATTACGTACCAATCACTGCATCATGCCGGAGATGTGGTTGTATCATTTAATAGCTCGAAAAACAGTTTTATGTATAAAGATAACATATTTTTATTAATATTTCATTTTTTTTTAAATATATATGATTTTTCTTTATTAGGAAAATATAATATCTCGCCACTTAAGAAATGTATAAGAGTCTATTTTGATAGCCTACTAAATTATAATCCGCGTTAAACGCAGGGAAACGCATAAAAATGTGCAAATCGTTGAATGACATCATTGCAGACAACTTTTTATGTTAAAAAGTATTAGATGCATTAATGGGTTAAAATAAATTAATAAATTCTTCAATACATATATTAAACAAAATTAATAGCATAAAACAAAATAAAAGATGAGTTAACTATTAAAAAAATTAACGCTACCTTTGATATCTTTTCAATCAGTCACTGATTACCACGGCGAATAATATCTTTAACATGACGGTCAAACAATAAAAAAGAAGCAGACCTAATTTCATATTGAACACGAATTACAACCCTCCCCATAAAAATTATAAAATGACACTTTAATGGACAATGAATAAAATTGGAAACATTCAAATATAAATTAATGGCACAAGAACTTTACAAATATAAAATCATGAACTTACTCGTTGTAAACATCAGAAACTCCACCACAACCATCACAAGTAAATGGTTCAGCATTAGTCTTATCATCATTCTTACTTACTTTTTTTGAACAACCAAGATAATAAAAAGAATACCAACCTTAATCAAAACTAATGACAGTAGCAATGATGGAAAAACTAATTTCCTATTACATAATTTTTTTTTAAAAATATATAAAAAAAAACTCATATATATATATATATATATATATATATATATATATATATATATATATATATATATATATATAGGTTCAGGTTAATTTGAGACCATTTTAATTTTGTGAGACCGTGAGACCAAATCTAAAAATAATTTTAAAATGCAAAAATAAATGGAAAAATCCAAAAATTCTTTTTTTTTTTAATTATTTTCGGAATTTGAATTAACTAAATAAAAATAAAAAAAATACCGTTTTTTTTTGAAAAATACATAAAATATTCTAATAGAATATTACACTAACATATTCTAAAAAATAATTTTAAAATGCAAAATAAATGGAAAAATCTAAAAATTCTTTTTTTTTTAAATATTATTTTCAGGAACTTGAATTAACTAAAAATAAAAAATAAAAAAATATAAAAAAATCCATTTTTTTAAAAATACGTAAAATATTCTAATAGAATATTACACTGTACATATTCTAAAAAATAATTTTAAAATGCAAAATAAATGGAAAAATCCAAAAATTCTTTTTTTAAATATTATTTTCGGAACTTGAATTAACTAAAAAAAAATTAAAAAATGTGTCTCACGGTCTCACAAAATTAGGCTGTCTCACATTAACCTAACCCTATATATATATATATATATATATATATATATATATATATATATATATATATATATATATATACACACACATATATTCATTGTGTTATGTGCCATACATTTATAAATTTAATGGAAAAATATTAATACGGTTAAGTATACCTCATTGTAATCTGAGATATCATCAATATTCTTGATTAGAAAACGGAGGTAGTAATCCTCTGTCTTGGCCACAACGATCTCGATGTTCAGCTGTGTAGTACTAATGGAAGAGTCAACATTCAAATCCGTATCAACAATACTACATATAAGAAGAAAAAAATGAAGAGGTTAAACAATATAAATAATTAATGATTAAGAATAAGGAAAAACAAACAGTAAGCTATTAATTAATAATAAAAGATATACGCTTTTTTGAATTCTGAAATGTGGGATGTGTCATCAATAATATGTAATCTTGATCCAAACAAACAGTTACCCACTTGAGGCTGACCTAGAAATAACAATTAAAGTTGTAAATTAATTTATCTTATAACATAAAATATTAATATAATGACATGGACATTTATAATAAAAAAATATTCTTACCACCCAAGTTTTGAGCTTTGCCTTACATAAGATGATGGTAACACCTGCATTATCATTTTAATGTAAACACGCCATTTTACAGCAAATATGTATAATAAGGCAATATCAAAACTACATTGTTTTTTTACCTTTTGACAAAAAAAAACATATGCTGATTGAGAAACACGACATAAACATATATTAAAAAAATATATGAATCATTCCAAAAAAGTAGTTTTTATTACAAGGGTAAATAAGTCATTTTGAAGAAATAATATATGTAGACACTAAACCTTTCTGGAAGGTACTCCACTTTTACATTTCTTTATTTCTATTTTCATCCGATCCAAACACATAATCAAATCCAAACACAAAAATAATTAAACTGAATTGTACATCATCAAACAAAAACACATAATCCAATCCAAACACACATACACACACACACTGAAACATAAACAGACACACAAAGCAAGGGTAAATATGTCAATTTACAACAAGTATGTATAATACGACAATATGAAAATTACATTTGCCTTTTTTATATTTCGAAAAAAAATGCATACGCTGCTTGAGAAACATAGACACACACAAATATTAAAGAATATAAGAATCATTCCAATTAAAAGTAGTTTTTACAGCAAACCTAAATAAGTCATTTTGAAGAAGTAATCTAATCCAATTAACACATAACTAATTAAACTGAATTTTACTTCATCCAAACCAAACATACACATACACAAACAGAATAGAAAATCCATTTATCAAAAACCCACTAATAAGCCATTGATACATATACCAAACACATAAACTATAATTAGATGTGCGAGAGGACTTTTGTGATTCACGAGGGGGAAAGGAAGAATGCGAGGCGACTGCTGCCTCGAGGTCTCACCTGAATCGCCACAACACCTGGTGGTTCTTGATACAAGATGAAGAAGATGATGATGAATCTAGATTCATGTAGAATTGGGGATAAAGGCCTGGTTTACTTAGCAGGTAATTACACCATATTAAAAATTCTTTCAATTTTAGCATTTGGTTGAGCCCATAAATGAAGTTCATTGTCAGCTCCAGTAACAACCCTAGATTCTGAAGAAGATGTTGATTTAATTTTGAAGCCCTTTCAGCAATCAAAGTGTAACGCCCGGGTTTTCAGGGCTAAGCATTTTTGTCAATATAATAGTCTAGGTCAACTATTGTAACTCTTTTTGAAGTAATAAATATGAAATATTTGAGTATTATGTGAATTATGTGTGTTTATGTGTTTATTATTTAATTATAAATGTATAATTAATAAAGAATAAAAATGAGCGTCAAAATTAAAGTGTGAGATAATCCCGATATCTCTACATAAAGTTGTAGAATATGTCTCAAGGTTTCCGTACATATAAAGAATACCGAAATCTGAGCTATAACGAAGAAGTTATGGCCCGCCGAAGTTTTACGACAAAACCGGCACGATACCGGGAGACGTAAATAGTGAATTTACGATAGAAGACTTTTTAGCCTTAGCAATCTAAACAAAAGTCGTATAATATGTTAAACTAAGAACATCGATAAAAAGAACGCCCAAATCTGACTTCGTATGAAGAAGTTATGATTTTTCTAAGATTCGGCTTAGCAGTGCACGGCCTGAAACTCGAATTTTAGTTCGAGCGGTTTTTGGCTTACGCAACGTAAATGAGAGTTGAAGATCTCATTAATAGGAAATCAACGGTAAAAAGACAGACAAAAACAGAGTCCGTATGTAGAAGTTATTAATTTTACGCAGACGTTTAACAGTATAATCTCCTTGTACTGTTAAATTTAAGATCGGTCGAGAATTAGCTGACGGTGTCAAAATGAAAGTTGTAGATCTTATTATTACCTACGCGTGGATATAAAGAACGTCAAAAACGGAGGTCGTATGTGAAAGTTACGGATTTTAGAAGTCGGAAGTGTGCTGTGCGAAAATGGGTGATGTGGCACAATCTTGGCCATTGCTTTCTCCCCAAGGCTTGCCACCAGATGGTGACATGTGGCACCAAGTTCAGCCACATTTCACCCTATAAATACCACCTCTCCCACCCTCATTTTCTTCACACCTTTCCCATTCTTTCTTCTCTTTACTCTCTCTCTCTCTCTAGAACCTCTCTCTAGCCCCGAAATCCCCCGAAAAGCCTAGGGAACCTCCCTAGCACGAGGCGGAAGCCCCGGAGTGCTCGAAGGCTCCGAGAAGAAGAGCTTTTCGGCTCGGGAACGCTGCTCCAAGCAAAGCCCGGTTTTCTATAAAACCCGCTGTAAGTGAGCTACGCCTACGCTATTTTTAATATAACTTTTATTTAATTATAGTAACGTTATTAGGAACTTATAATAAATACTTGGGCTATTATTATGGGTTATATAAGTATTTTTTTGACGCTTATATAATAATAATAATAGCTAGACTATTAATTAGTCTCGACGAATAATAAACTAAACTCTAGTGGTAATAATACTAGGTTTCGTCGAAGAAAAATTCTTTTTAAGAAGCGAAGCGCTGTCTGAGTTCGGAATCACCACCTTTTCCGGTGAGTGCATAGTTACTTCAACTTACACATAGATATGAAGTATTTTATATAAATTACGTGCTATGTGTGCATATTATCTGAATACTTGCTATCTATGCTAGATGAACGTTGTTATACATGTTTTCAATGATTTAAACTGTATATGTATTTTATATCTACGAAAATGTTGGGGTAAAACATGGGTAGATGTAATAGGTGATGTGTGATAAAATGATGAGAGGCCTCGATGTTGTTGTTGTTGATCCAGTCATCTAGCGGAGTATAGATGACGACCACGGACTCTTCTAGACAGTCCAGTGGAACACTAGCAGGTCGCAACCTGTAGGTGTTGTGAACGATGTGTTCACCGGTGTACTCCATCCCCCACATGGTTGCCTATTAGGACATTTATTGCTGAGGAATCCCCTTAGCAGTAGTGTCCGTCCCGATGATGATCCTTAGGCTAGGTCCCTTATGATAGGTGTTTAGGGACGTAAAGTGAGGATAACGGGAACGGGTAATCGGGTTATTGTTGATTGATGAAATTAATAAACTTATTTATTGTGGGTTGAAAACCCTATGTGCTCACCAGGCTCCCAAGCCTGACCCACTCAGTTTTATGTATTACAGGTAGTGGCGCATGAGCATAGGTGTGATGTTTTGGACGAGGGATTACGGATATAGGCCTGTAGATATGAAATAATGTAGTAAGGCTTATATTGTACTGTTTATACTTTTGATCTGTACGAACATGACATCCCGAGTCTTTTAATGAAATACATTTCTATGGAAATGCTTTTGATAAATCTTTATCATATTATTGTTTTGGGACAAATTCCGCAACCCTTTATTAAAAGATAACTCTGATTTTGAAATAAAGTATAAACAAAACCGGTCTTTTCTGGCCGTGATTTTGGGGATGTCACAGTTGGTATCAGAGCATTAGTTTAAGCGAACTAGGAATTTGTAGGATTTCTAGACTTAAACTTAGAATGCTAAGCGATGATTGTGAGGTGTGAGCACTAGCTTATTTTAGGAATTGTGCCT